CCATAAATTAATCCTACGTACTCCATCCAGTTTTTTTTTTTCCTTCTTTTGTTAATTCATCAAGGTTTGTAATGATAAACGATACTTGAACTATTTTTTAAGTGAATATAATCCAAAAGCTTCTCATCATCTATTTAAAGGATAAGTAGTGCCAATGGTCTTTACACCTTTTGACTATAATATTTCTCCATGACTTTTTCTTTTGCTCGACATATTCACCATAACTTTGATTGACTGGATAAAATAAAATTCATTATAATTTTGAGAAGAGAATTTGAGGAAAGGAAATAAAAAAATTAGTATTGTGTGATGCCTGTATTACTTCTTATGTTTGCTTCTAACGACCTTATTTTATTTTAGAGTTCATTTGATATCATGATATTTTATTGCCATTACATTGCAGCTATGTATGAAAAAGACTTGTGAGTACGTCGAACAGCTGGAAAAATCCTATTCTTAAACTTTGACATATTATTCTCAACTCCAAACTAGAATCAAAACTCAATTTGCCTAATTCATGGTCAACGAATCAACAGTTTAAACATTAAATACACGATTATACGAGTCTAGGTGAAAGACATTGACTTGTAAATTATATATTAGTGGTTGATATGTATCCTTTTAGGACGCTAGTAATTGTTGATTTCTCATGGATTTGCAAAAAAAAAAAAAAAAAATTTGCGGAAGCATCGTGAATTACATAAATTAAAATTTAATGCGATCCCTTGGAGATATTGCCTGAATGGTATTTTTTTCCCATATTTCAAATACTTCGTACAGTGCCCAATAAATTATTGGGTGTTCTTTTAATGGTTTCAGTACCTGCGGGATTATTAACAGTACTTTTTTTGGAGAATGTTAATAAATTCCAAAACCCATTTCGTCGTCCAGTTGCGACAACCGTCTTTTTGATTGGTACCGCGGTAGCCCTTTGGTTTGGTATTGGAGCAACATTACCTATTCTCATTCTTTCATGTTAATTTAACTACGAAGAAATCAAAAAGAAGAAAAAAAATTTTACCGTCATTCGATTAGGACGTTAATCTTGAATTCCTCTAACACTGTCTTGAGCTTTTAAATTCTAAAAACATCACGGCTCTTTCTCAACGTATCTCCGGATCAACGTGAATTCGAACGTGTGGGCGTTCTAATGAATTTCTCAACACATGAGAATGATGAGTGGGAAGGTCACCTATGACTATCACTCACTTTTCTCAAAAGTTACCTAAGGCTATCACTCACTTTTCTCAAAAGTATATAATATTTCTCAGAGTCTTTTCTCTATATTGTTTTTGTTCTCTACTTTTAGCATCTCTCTCACAAATAATACGCAGTATTATTTATAAAGAGATATCTGAGAAATTTTTTTAATTTAAACAATTTAAATTAAAAATAATTTCTCACTATCATATTTAAACTCCATTTATTTCACCGATTTGAGTTTAAAATTTGAGTTTTGCTATTGTAAAAAGCTCTCAGAAACAGTCACATCTAACTTTTTTTGCTACAGTAAAAAACTCTCATATAAAATCACATCTCAATTCAAATTAAAAACTCGAATCAGTAAATTAAACGTGCTTTTCTCACCTACTTTCTCTCAAAAGTTTCTACGTGCACATTTTTTTTAATATATATATATATATATATATACATATTATATATATACATATATATTTATAGAAGAATGCTGCTTTCCTCAAGAGGAGGATTCCTTTTGCTTTCCTCAATGTGAGGAGACGTGCAACGGCACGTTCCTCTTTTCTTTTTCTTTTTTTTGTTTCTTTTTCTTTTTTTGTTACCATGGCTGAATCCCATTGGCTAAAAAAAAAAAAATACTTTTCTGGTAATGAGAAACGTGGGGAGCTTTTAGGACTGAGAGAAAAAAATTCTCTCTTTCTATAAAAGTTATTAGATTCATCAATATTAATTTAAAAAAATTTAAATTAATTTTAATATTAATTAATCAAATTAATTAACATGTATATTTAAAATTCTCAATTCTAAATTAATAATCATAACCCAATATGATATATATAGTTCGCATTAATCTTATAGAGTCGTTGAGAGAAACTATTGACATTATGAGTGCGTTTAGAATTGGTTTTAAAATGATTTTGTTTCAATAAAAAGTAAAAATAAGATTATTTTGAGAATCATTCTGATACCGATTCTGAAATTGCGTTTGCTTGGTTTTTTAAGAGATTGTTTCGAGTATAATAAAAAAGTGAAATCGTGTTTATTAATTAATATATTATAATATTATTGATAATTACTAAAAAAATAAAAAAATAGAAAAGTGAAAACAACTTTCAACTGTTTTCTAATTCCTTTACAAAAATCATTCTTACTGTTTTCGTTTTTAAAATATTTACTAAACAAACGTCATTTCATTTTTATTTTTATTTTTTGCTTCTCGAAATACGTGAAAACCGTTTTAAAAAATGATTTCAAACACGCACTATAATTTTAAGCTCTAATAATTTTGACAATTAATTAACACATTAATTAATATATCAAAATTATTAATTCCAAACTACTCTACTATAAATTTGGAATTGCACTCTTAAAATTATAAAATAATTATGTTCACGGAATTTGTGTTGTCCATTGATATAGTCACTACATACGAATTAATCCTCCATAAATGATTTATAATTAAAGCTAGGATTTTTTCATTGACCTCTTTAATTATATCTTTCTCCATAAGTACCATTGATCCTCTAATGAATAATATATTTTATGATCCAATCATAAAATTGAGCGCTCTTATTATTCAAGCCCGAATCAACATTTATGGGAACCGTCCATCTACTTCATTATGAATGAATGGATTTCATCTTGTAAATTAATTATATTCCCGACTATTTATTTTACTATGCTCCCAATATACGAAGACTTTGACACTATTCATATGTGTCATTACTCAATATGTCAAAGAATATAATATCATAAATAAGAGTTTATTAATTACTCAGAATTAAGATTAATTCATATATGACCATCATTGATTAATATTGAATGCTCTATTTAATAACAAAATTTATTAGAGATTCATAATTAATCGTGTTCCACTCCTATGTAATCATATTGCATAAAGTGCTTTCATTCTAATAATCTCATTATTAACAATCTAGGATAAGATTGTTTCATTCAGAATGTAATGAACCGCACTAGTAATTTTAAATTAAACATCCCAACTTTAATTTATAATTACAGACAAGTTTATATTATTTTACTTCAAACATTATCCTCGGCATATAACACTTATATACAATGTTTAAAGTTACATCTAAAATAATCTAGAGATTTTTTATATTTATAAAACATCACATACATGATAAATAATATTGAAAAAATCCATCATTTTATTAATGATGGGCACGTATCCCAATACTAGTAACAAAAACATACTAATTAATACCTACTTATAGAACATATATGTCGTTTGATGTACGGTAATTCCTTCTCAACAAAACCACTGATGATGAGGACGGGAGGGATGATCAGTTGTAGCTTTTTTTTTTTTTTTTTTTTTTTAAAGTGTGACAAATGTTTATATTAGAAAATAGCTACTTGTATCAGTAGACGAAACGCGTTACTTTGCCTGTTCTATCATGCTTTCAAAGTTACAAATTGTAGGAGAACATGATTATAATATTCACTTGAGCATTGTAGTGTAAAATAAGTAACTCCACACGTGTGGCAACATGTTAACAATATTTCCACGCAATAAAATTAGAATACTGTAGCTTTTAGATTATCATATGACTATATAAAAATTGATTTCCAAATATATAATTGTTTTGCCACTTTTAACATTTTTCTATATCAACTTGTTGTTCAACACGGTATGCATGGAATTATCATCAATCTTTTTTTTCCCCCTCCATGTTTCTTGTTTACTTTTCTCTGCTTAATTCAGCGTCCAGTTTCCCCAAATAACAAACAACAACAAATACCTGCACCAAGTCTTTGTTATGAACCCTAACAGAGCAACCGAAAAACGAATATGGTCGTAGTAATTTACATACCAAGCAAAGCCAAACTCAAAAGTCTACTATGTATGGAGTAAGTATCACAAACTTTCCTTGCTTGTTCCTCGTTTCTATTCGCGAAATGGACCTCCACCAGTTCTCTTTTGTGGAGTTGTTTTGATCAGTGGTCCGCATCTCGATCGGTTCTTCCTCTTTGTCTCTTTATGTTCTCGTTTTCTTTTTCTTTAACGGATCGATTTTTGTAGCAAAAGAAAGGAATCAAACGAAAATGGTTTGTAGTAATTTACTGAGAAAGGAAAGCAAATTACCTAATATGCTCTCCTGTTTTTGCGTAAGAGATGGCAAAGACAAAAACAAAAAAACAAAATAACAAAATAAAACAGAAATTACCTAATATGCTCTCCTGTTTTTGCGTAAGAGATGGCAAAGACAATAACAAAATAACAAAATAACAAAATAAAACAGAAAAAAAAAAAAAGAAAAAAAAAAAGAAAACAAAACCAACTTGTTTAGCGCCTTCTGCTCCAAGTTTACCTGCACCACCACTGAAAATCTTAAATATTATCTTTTAAATATTAATTGTTTCATTATTCTCTTCAACTGCCCTCCATTAACGTCACCTTTTAGATTCAACAGAATATTTTCCAAATTTTCTGTTCTCCAATTTCCACGAAACTTCTTCAAAAATAAACAAACAACTTGTCCAAGTCTTGGATTTTCTTGGTCTCCCTTATGTAGTGTTCAAATCTCTATTCTCATTCTTGCTTGCTTGGAATATCTGTAAACGCCTTTTGGGGTCATTTCATACTAGTGGTTTATGCAATTTTTCTGCTTTTCCGAATAAGTGAATGATAGCTGTAGGGTTGTGAGAACACACACACACCCAAATATACATACACATATACCTACAAACATACATACATACATACATACATACATACATACATACATACATATAAATATATATGTTATACCTTGCCCATAAGCACATATATTGGTGAAGTTATGGCACAAGTCTTGTTGCATGGAGTTCTTCACGTGACAAACTATGAGATAGATAAACTTTCAAGTGGAACCTCATAATTTCCCTTGAATTTATTCAATTATTAGAGTATAAATCAACTTTTACTCCTGCTCTTTTCCTAGCTATATAGAGAAATTAGAAATGTTTTCTTTGTTTTCGTCTCTAACTTGTGTTATGCTTTTAAAGGATGTTTGAAAAGAAATGAAGCTGCATATTTATCGCTGTGTTTTACTTTTCCTCTTCGCTGCTTTTTTTTTTATTACTTTTCTTCCAATTTCATAACATTTCTCAATGATTTTTTCTTCAGCTTATTGAGAAATTTGAAGAAATAGTAGGGTTTCGGAAAGGTACTTCAAAACTTTATGCAACAATAGATTTAGAAAACTCTAGATCAGTTGGCAGCACTAGAGTTCTTGAATGCAAAACCTGGAATCCGCGGTGGTACGAGTCCTTTGACATTTACTGTGCTCATAAGGCATCTAATGTTGTCTTCACCATCAAACAAGACAAGCCCATCGGCGCAGAAGTGATTGCAAGAGCTTATTTGCCTGTTGATGAACTTCTCAGTGGTAAAGAAGTGGACCAATGGCTTCATCTCATGGATCACAAGCATAAGCCTTTACATCATGGTTCCAAAATCCATGTGAGGGTACGTTTTTGTGACGTCTCTAAAGACATTAACTGGTCGAAAGGAATCGGAAGTCCGAAATTTCCAGGAGTTCCTTATACATTCTTTCCTCAGAGGAATGATTGTAGAGTTACCCTTTACCAAGATGCTCATGTCCCAAACAAATTTTTACCCAAAATTCCTCTTGATGGGGACAAGTGTTATGAGCCTAATAGATGTTGGGAAGATATTTTTGATTCTATTTGTCATGCAAAACACTTGATCTACATTGCTGGCTGGTCCGTCTATACCAGAATTACCTTGGTAAGAGACGCTGGGAGGAAAATGAATGGAGGTGATATGACACTCAGAGAGCTTCTTATAGAGAAGGAGAGAGGAGTTCGCGTGATAATGCTTGTTTGGGATGACAGAACTTCTTTGAAGTTGCTTAAGAAAGATGGACTAATGGCTACACATGATGAAGACACTGAGAGTTACTTCGAAAACACCAGCGTTCACTGTGTGTTGTGTCCCCGGAATCCAGACAACGGACAAAGCATTATCGAAGGGTTGGCGGTTTCGACGATGTTTACTCATCACCAGAAGATTGTGGTAGTGGACAGTGAGACTGTTGATGGGATGTCAAACAAAAGGAAAATTGTGAGCTTTATTGGTGGTATTGATCTTTGTGATGGGAGGTACGACACTCCTTTTTATTCAATTTTCCGGACTCTGGACACGGCCCACCAACATGATTTCCATCAACCTAATTTCCATGGTGCCTCAATTGCTAAAGGTGGGGCAAGAGAGCCTTGGCATGACATTCATTGCAGATTAGAAGGGCCAATTGCCTGGGACGTTTTGTGCAACTTTGAGCAAAGATGGAGAAAACAAGGCCACAAGGACTTGCTTCTTGAATTAAGAGAATTGGGCGACACTTTTGTACCTCCATCTCCAGTTATATTTTCCGAAGAACAAGAGACTTGGAATGTTCAATTGTTCCGATCCATTGACGGCGGATCTGCTTTCGGGTTTCCTGAATCTCCACATGATGCTGCTGAAGCAGGTCTTGTTAGTGGGAAAGATGGTGTAATCGATAGAAGCATTCAGAGTGCGTATATCAACGCCATTCGACGAGCAAAAAATTTTATCTACATCGAGAATCAGTATTTTCTTGGAAGTTCCTTTGGCTGGAGCTCAAACGAAATTAAGGCTGATGAGGTTGAGGCTTTGCACCTCATTCCGAATGAGCTGTCTTTGAAGATTGTGAGCAAGATTGAAGCTGGAGAGAGATTCACCGTCTACGTTGTAATTCCCATGTGGCCAGAGGGTATCCCGGAGAGTGGTTCTGTTCAGGCAATACTAAATTGGCAGAAGATGACAATGGAGATGATGTACAAAGACGTTCTTCAGGCTCTTCATGCGAAAGGACTTGATGCAAACCCTAAGGACTACTTGGCATTCTTTTGCCTCGGTAATCGCGAGATGAAAAAGCATGGAGAGTATGAGCCTCCAGAAAAACCGGAGCATGGGTCGGATTACAGCAGAGCTCAACAGTACAGAAAGTTCATGATTTATGTTCATGCCAAGATGATGATAGGTAGTCTTGTTAATCACTTTACTTTTTCGAACAAGTAACTAGTTTAAAAGCGACACAATGTACTAAATGGCAAATGTGTATTTTCTACAGTTGATGATGAATACATAATCATTGGATCAGCCAACATAAATCAAAGATCAATGGATGGTGCGCGAGACACGGAGATTGCGATGGGAGCCTACCAACCTCATCGCCTTTCGACCACGGAGCCAGCCAGGGGGCAAATCCACGGCCACAGATTGGCATTGTGGTATGAACACATGGGAAAGCTTGATGGCATATTCCTCAAACCGGAGAGCGTCGAATGTGTTCGTAAGGTGAACCAGATCGCGGAGAATAACTGGGATCTCTACTCTTGCGAGACCTTTGATGATGACTTGCCAAGCCACTTGCTCAGCTACCCCATTAGAGTTAACGAAAACGGTGAAGTGACAACTCTACCCAACACAGAATATTTTCCGGATACTAAAGCTCGAGTTCTTGGCTCCAAATCGGAGATACTTCCTTCAATACTCACTACTTGAATGCATTTCCTTACTCATTTTGACTCGCCTGATGAACTCCTTTGATCCTCTCTTGTCAATAACTTGAATGCATTTTCTCATTGAAAGCATGATTAAATATTCTACTTAATGCAGTTGTCTTTTATCTGCCATAAGTTAATACTCAATATCAAATACCTTAAACAACTGAAATCGATTAATAATCAAGCCACAACTTTATAATCCAAGTAAACCTAGAAATTACACGTCCTTTTTTTTTTTTTTGTTATTTACTAAAATGTTGTAAGAATACCTTATCATAAAATTTAGTTGTATAAATCACACGACCGTTTCACATGCGCGAACCCCATTTTCCATCTTTTGGGAAGTTACGCTCTACGTACAATACTATTTAAGGCAGATCAAGTTATGTTACTAAACAAAATTAAAAGTAGATAGTAATTTCCATTGCTTGTTAGACTATTAAGTGTCATTTATTTCGCGGGTTCGAGTTGAGAACTTGAGTTGAAGAGTGAATTCGTGTGAGAAAAAATATTGTAAAAAAACAAGTTAAATTTTAATTTTTGTGAGATAAAACACTATAGCACAAAATTTCAGTTGTGATTCACGCTGTGAAACGAACGGGACAGGTGGGTAATGATTCAACAAATATATTGAGTCTCTTCTGGGGTTGTTAAGATCAAAATATCAAATCATGAGGAAATAATTTGGAGGAATTTCGAGCTCACTACAAATGTATATCAAATCAAATGCAATAAATAAAAGCTTCTTTAGACTTTTTATGTAGAGCAATGCTATAGGGCATTGATGGTGTTTAGCACCACTCATTAATGAAATGTGGGTCCTGCAATGTAAGACTCATCTTATATTAGTGATGGTGTTTAGCACCGGTAGTTCTCCTAACATTTTTCTTTCATGTATATGTGCGCTTGGTGTTTTTGGTTGTTTTACTGCGCAACATGGAATTGGATAATTCTTTCATAACCGTCGATCAATGATTAGAAATAGACAATCACATGCGATCAATGGTTGAACATGGATACTAATTAAGCTCCATCACTGAAAATGGCATCGGCTGCCACACGTAAAGGGGTGATAGGTCGAAAACCAATGTGTTCGGCAATCAATTTATCGTTTGATGTGATACTGTTCACACTGAAAATTATTGTTAAACTCAGTCTAAAGATGGCATGGTTATTGCGCATGCATTTAAAAATAATGAAGACAATAAAATAATGTGTTATTTGTTTACGGGGCGACTTTTTTAACTATTTTATGTTACAAGTGTACGTAATTTGTAAATTCAAGGCGTACGTAGTACTCATTTTGTTTTTGTACGTATGTAACTTCTGTAAATTTGATTTGTAGAAATGACTCACATTTGTGCAAGATAGCTTAATATTGTGATATTAACTTTGTCCAAGATTGATTAATGAATACAACACAGATATATAAGAAAGACTGACATGCTATCTCTCTATATGTGTATTTGAAATCGTTAATTCATCCTTTATGTATAGACGTAGATACGTCCGTTATAGAGCTAACACTATACAGTGTTGATTTTATACGATTAGTAATGCAGTCATACTTAATAGTTTCAATCATACTTAACAGTTTCAATATACAAGGACATAAATGATTAGTATCCACACAATTCTTTTTTTTTTTATTTTTTTTTTTTTTTTTTTTTTTTTTTTTTGTTTCTAAACTTGGGAGTAATGAGATTTGAACTCCACACCTCAAGGTGATGTCAATGATGAAAATATCAGCATGATCAATACAAAAATTGATACTCTTATTTAACAAAAAAACTCAGAAAAATTATCAATATGGGTGAAAATATCCAAAACATTACAAAAATTATATAAATATTTATGATATTCTAAGATAGGATAAAAGTTGAAAACAATTATACACAACTAAATAAGTGTTACATGAGAAACTCATACATGTCAGATAGAAATCTTAATACCAAAAGGAAGTCTTTATAGACCCAAACATTGTTAGGATTTCATCTAGATTAGGGAACAAGAAAAGATTCTTTATGAAAAATGAAGTAACTAGGGGAGAGAGAGAGAGAGAAAAAAACAAAAACAAAAACTTATCCATGTAGGAGTATTTTGGTATTGCTTATCTCCTATAACCATTTGATCTCGGCAAATTTGGTTCAGCTGATTTGTTTCCATTATGTATTATTTATTTATTATAATTACCCTTATACAAAGCAGAGTTGTTAAAATCACTGTTCAAAAATTTTACCGATTTAAGTTTTCAGTTCTAAGTTTATACAGTTAAAAGCTCTCAGAAAATGTCACATTTAACTTTTTCTTCTATAGTTAAAAACTCTTAAAAAATATCATATCTCAACTCAAATTGAAAACTCAAATCTGTGAACCGAACGAAACCATAGTTTGTCATTTTGTGTCCTTGCTTTTCCTTTTTATTTAGATTCCTTTCACTTGTCGTTATGAATCAGGGTGTGTGTGCTGGTAGGCAATCCATCCAATCCAGCTCATTCCATCTTTCAACCAATCCAACTAAAAAAGATGGATATGCAAACACTATCGGATTAGATTTGGATAGTATTTTCACTAATCTAATTGGATTGGATTGGATGTTAGATTCAAATTTTGAAAATTCAAGAAAATCAACCAAATCTAATGTATTTATCTTATATACTAGTTCTGTAACATGCCCGTACGTATTGTTATGTTGGAGATACCTAAAGAGTTTATTGTTTATTAAATAATGGGAAATTAATTTATACAACCAATTAAGAATTTTTAAATGTATTTTAAAAAAGAAATATGTATAAAGATAACAATTGACAAAAAAAAATTAAGTAGGAATACATTTGAAGAAAATTATTTTAATCATTAACAAAAAAATAAAATAAGAACACATGCGAAAAAAATTATTTTCATAGGAGTAAAGTGAGAAAAAATATATAAAAAAGTGGTATTCGGTGGACTCGTAGATCTCTTTCTTATCTTTACAGTGACACGAGATCAGCTTCTTTGGACATATATTTAGAGAGATATGCATGAATTATCGAGACATGTCTAGAGGCTTGACTTTTGCATGATCATGTTGGACACATAATTTGGAAAAGTAGTCTTCTAAAGATTCGTAGGTGCGTTTGGTTGCAGTAAGAGAATGGTAATGAAAATAGAAATAGGAATGGTAATAGAATAGAATAGAAAAAAAAAAAAAAGATGATTCATTTTTTTAGTTCTACTTTTACAAATACAATAGAATAGAATTTGAATATTTTCATGTTGACAAAATTACACCTTATGTTAATATAACTAATATCATATATATTGATATAATCATTTAATAACTAATATTATATATATAAAATTATAAGGATATAATATATATAATAATAATTATAGTTATATAATATTTATTATTATAATACAATCATAATATATAATATAATAAAATAATAATATTTCTAATTATAGTATTCATCTATTATCTATTATAATATAAATTTATATTGTAATTATATAAATACTTAATTATAATATTATAAAATATAATATCTGATTATACTTATGGAATTGTCTTTGGTCAGGCACTTGAAAAGTGCTTGACCGGAACGGCAGTTGTATAATTCTGCATAAATCGTGTATATTTACATGTAAAGTCGTATATATTTACATATAAAGTCGTGCATATTTAACATGAAATACAACAAATAAGCCAATATACATATTTTCATGCTATGTGTTCACTAATTGCTATAAAAAATACATGTTTCGCGGATTAATATATATTATCGTTTCTTATAACTTTATACAATTTTATATGTAAATATACACGACTTTATATATAAATATACACGATTTATGCAGAATTATACAATTGCCATTTCAGTCTGGCGAACAGTAAGTGCCGGTCTAAAGACCTTACCTATAATTATAATATTATATATTTAAAATAATAAAATCTTAATTTTTATTATAACTATCATATTATTAATGAAAATATCACATCTATATCATATAATATAATATAACATAATCACTACACCACAAAAGGCCTTTTGTAGCTGACGAAAAACGCTATTAATCACTATCAATAGCGCTTTTTAGAGCGCTAGGACAGCGGGCGCTATTATAGGTCCTAAGAAAACATAGCGTTTCAAGAGAGTTATAAAAAGCGCTATAGAATTGAAGTATTAGCGTGTAAGAAAAGTTATTTTCATCCTCTTACAGCTCTTTAGCATAGCTACAATACAGATTAATAACTTTTTTTCCTTGTTTTGTTCATATTGTTGTAACTTTTTAAAATTATTATTGATATCCTTTTGAATTCATTCAAATAAATGGTAATTCCGAGATATGTGATATATCTAAATAGGAACATTCAAATTAAAACATAAAAACATTCAACATATCAATTGTTATCAGTATCTACCAAGCTGTCAATAAAATTACGTCTACAACATAATTCGTACAGTGTCCAAAACTTTAACATTCAAAACAAGTAAAGAAAACAGAAAAGTCATCTCCAAAACGTCTAAGTGCAATGGTGAAGTAAATCCTTTCATCTTGACAAAATGCTTCAACAAAAAAGTCATCTCCACTGTTAAACCTGTATAATTAGGAAAGTAAAATAGGTTTAGAAACATAGCCATAAAATATTCTCATATGAGAAAGGTGACAGAAGAAGAGATTTCAAGACTCCATTAATGATTTCAAAGACGCATTTTCTGCCCAAAATTAATGTGGGATTGCATTAATTTATCTATCATCTATAATTGAATAACTCCAAAATCTTTAGTTATATTACATCGTTTCAACCCATCAATTTCTCAAATAATACCCCACTGAAATGATTTCCCAAGTCAAATTCCACGAGCATTAAACAAGAAGATAGTTCACTCGCTTTGTCTCGGATGTAAGTCACTAAAAGCTTTTGCCTTTGTTCATCAAGACCTTCTGACTCTATAAGATTAATCTGAGGTGACTCGTTGGGATGCTATCACCCAAAAAAAAATAACAAGA